AGCGAAAGATAGAAGAAGACGCTTAGTGAAATTGTCAATTGTAATAAACCTAATTCACTCAATAATATGTATTTTCAAAATATTGTTTTCAAAAAAAGTCCTTTTCAGAACTTATCATTCAATCACTAAAAATCATATTTCTTTTTATTTAATCGCAATATGTATGTGAAAAATATGTGTAGTATTGAATAATATTCAAGTTTTATTTACACACAAACTTAAAAAAAACTCGTTATTACTTCCCATAAATTCCCATTGAGATTAATATAATTTCAATTTAATCTTCAGTGAAACGTTATGGGAATTAATTTGCATTATATGCATATCAAATCAATCTATCTAATCGAACTGCTATAATACGATAAATATAATATATATACGAGTATATATATATGACAGTCTATAGTGAAAGCTTCAAAATAAATTTTCATGTTAAGCATTATAATACAAAACTTAAAGCAGATTGATTAGAAGAGTAGGTGTAGTGTTGAAGGCAGAAACAGAGAAGAAATCCACTTTCCTTTCAAGCCTTTTCTGTCAATTCGTTTTCTTAATTTTTGTGGCTATTTGTGCCACAAGAAAACTTAAGCCATTGCAGGATTATCTAAACATAATGTTAGCTGAAAACCTAAAACTAAAGCAGTATCTTGCAAATAGGTTTTCATTTTGATCAGTTTTTCAAAAATTCTGGAAAATTTAATAAATGTATTAAAAAAACGTGGTAAAACATTATAACTAAGAAGGTATAGGTTTTTAAAGTCAAGTTAATGAACAAAAAACGCTGATTCGTGGACTTATTCTACCTTTGTTTATTATTTTATTCAGACTGCCGCACACATATACTGTGTCCGATCTTTGCTTCAAAGCTATAAAATACATGGATATGGATATACAAATAGAGATATTTAAATAAATAATAATTTAATAAATAACATCAATAGCTATCAAAGGTCAAATTGATGTGATATTGATATGGTGATGATTGATATGGCAGGTATGTGTTTTATATTTTGTACTTCAATTAAGTTTTAAAATGGTGATACGCAGAACTGGAATCGATTTACTGGTCTGTTGATAACTAAAACCTATTTGTTTAGAGGAAGGGCTCCCACCAAAATATAGCTAACCATGTGAGCTCGGTGTCTTTTGATAATTGAGAGCTTTATTAACTCGCACAATGGCCTTTCAATACTTGTATATCATAGTATTTTTGAAGATAAAATCTTTTAACACTCTTGCAGTTTCTCAGTCTTTCGATATAAAATGTAGTTGCATCGCCTCTATATGTCTATAAAACTCTAGGTAGTTCTTTAAAATATAAATTACATTCGATAATACAATACTATATAGCACATATTCTATAGACACTCGTTTATATTTAAATAATTTGTGCGACTTCTGACTGGCTATCTAGACAACATAATGCTCTAAATGCACTTGTGATACATTTGAGCTGTCATCAGGTATTATTATTTTATCAGCAGCAGAAATAGGGGGGTTGGGCTGGTGTGTGGTGGAGGAGGGGGAGGAGCTAAAGGTGGAAAAGAAGGTGAAGAGGGTGGCGTCAGAGCGACGCCTGCAAAGTGAAACGCTTGTTTTTGTTGTTTTTTCCAATGAATTTTCCATCAATTGTGCAAACACAAAGCGGGAATGGCGCGCCCGTTATCAAATGCATGACGTCGTGACGTCGCCGCTGTGATTGAATATGCGGCTCCCGCTGCCTAACACAATAAACCAATTCAAAACAAAAAGGCAGCGACGCGCTCATCTAGCGAACAAGGCGGAATGGAGCGGGTGTGGGAGCGCGGATAGGAAATGGTGCGAGTGTGCAAACTGTTGCTGCCTAGACAGAAACACCCACACACGCACACCGACATCGCAGCCACGTGCACAATCATGTGATGACATGCCCAGGTAGTCGTTGAATATTATGGCTTTCCAAAACGCTACGATTGGAGTGGAGCACAGTGAAGTCGAGTCAAGTCGAGTCGAGTCAAGTCGAGTCGAGTGGAGAAGGCAGAGAAGCGACGGCTTTCACTTTCACTTTTGTGCATTTCCGTCAAGCGGAAATTCGCGTAAATTGCCGACATGTCCAGCAGCAGGCAGCGCCAAATGCGCCCACAATGGCGTGCCGGAAGTTGATGCAAGTCTAGAAACAAGTGCCAAATGCCGGAAGCCTATGGCGTTCTTGTGCACGGCAACAGCAATAAGAGCAAAGCGTTAACAGGGAAAGTGCGGAGAGGCGATATGAAACCGCTTGCCATGGGTGTGCTTGGCCCAATGGGGGGTTCAATGTGCTGGCCCAATTTCATTCTACTAAACGATATCATGGCAAAGAAAATGAACGCTACATACAGTCCACATCGTAGAGATATGAAGTTTGAATCAACGAGTGTGTATGTGAGCCAAGAGGAAGTGTAATCATCATTGATGAAAAGAAACAATAGAAGGAGCAGCAAGCGTAGAAATCAAAACAAAGCGAAACTAAACAATGAAATATCAAACAAATACTATAGGTATGGAGAGTGAGAGACAGAACAAATACTAGAGAAAAGGAATTAACGCCTAAAGTGCTCGATGCTTTGAGAAACTGTTGGCAATTGTAGAAAGTGCAAAAGACAATTAAAAGGAGGTTGAAAGAAAGGGTCCTAATTGATACTAAACAGTGACAAAAGAACAGTAAGCTTGGTAGCTTTTGTACCAAGCATATACATTTTGTTTTAAGTGCGATTTTCAATCTTGAAATCTCTCTGAATTATAAACTCTTAATTAAATTGTTTAACTCTTTCTAATCGATTTTTGTTTTTGATTATATTGTTTTTATTGCTATGCTTAATGAATGATGAATACCCAATGAATCCTGGGCATAGTCCATTACAATATACTGCACACATGCAAATGAAGCGCTCACAATTTGTATTAATATTAAAAATCACTTGGTTTTAGTCCAAAGTAAAGTAAAACACGTTAAGCCAATATAAAAGTTGAGCAACTGAGGGAGAGAGAGATAGAGATGTCATGCGTTGAGGTGGTTTACAATTTCTTCTTTAAATAAGTTCTTTGTTATTATTTAAAGTTACGAGCAGATCATTGAAGTTGAGAAATCGGTTCCGCACTTCAAATTTAAAGTCGATACAAGATAGTCAGTTTTGGCAAGAATGTAAGACCATAATTTTCTTAATCAGTGCAGAAAAGTGTTACTTTAACAGCATAATGAAAGTTATTAGAGTGGAATCAGCATTTTTGCTCATGCCATTTTTAGGTAGTCTTTCAAGGAACTATTTTGAACGGATTTTGCACGAAAAAAAGATATCTCTTCAAACAAAAAAAGAACACCTTAATTAGAGCCGAATTATAAGAAAATGTCGATGGCAACAATAAAATCCAATGTTTGCAGCACGGACGCAATAAGCTTGAATCTATTCTAAATATTTCTAAATATATTTGAAAAACATTCAACATTATCTGCTTTAAGTATTTATTAAAAACTACATTTTTAAAATAGTTGATTATTATTACTATTATTGAGCGGCATAGTGCTCTAACACTACCATAAAACGCGACAATATAGCCGTCCTTGAAAAGATAGCTTTACGAAAATATACACAATTAAAACCAGGACTTAGTTCGATACGATATTGCTTAAAAAATGAAATATGTGCATGTTTGCAGTGGAAAATGCACATTAACAAAAGTGCAATCTAGCAACATATTGTATCAAATCTGATACTACTTAATAATTTCTAATTGATGGACATTAACTAGAACAGCCCCCGGACTCTAAAACTCTCTCTACCTATGTGTAGAATAATTAAATGAATTTTAAAAAACAACGTTGACAAAACAGAAAAAAAAAGTTATGGATTAAAAAATTCGAAGAATTATGGAATTTTTGAAAAATCACTAATAGCGGGGGAGTGGGGGAAGGAGGATAATATAAATACCGCGTATATGTGCAAAATGTTGTGTGTCTAGCTCTTAGTCTCCGAGTCTCTGAGATCTTGGTGTTTATGTGAGCAGACGGAAAGACATGCAGACAGCGCTAAAACGACTCGTCCCCTCATACTGATCAAAAATATATGTACAAGTATATGTATGCCTATTGGGGTCGCACGTTGGCACTAAACCAATATACTGCTTTACCCTTGGGGTGCAGGGTATTGTAAGGTGTCTACAAATATGAAATGGAGCACATTATTTACAAACAAATTCTCAAGCCGAAGCACATTTTCGTCGAACAGTTGTCACCCAGTCGCCTCAAATTGCATTTATTCGTGGAGTGAGTGGACTAGTGTGGAGCAAATTAAATAGAAAGCTGTTGTCTCGAGTTGCAATAATAAAAACAGATCTTGTATTGCTGTTGATATAATAGTTTACTCCAAACTCTGTCCCTCCATTCCTTCGCTCTCTCCCCCTCTCTTCATGAAACACATACAGTGTTCCAGCCTCTTTATTTGAATTGGCATTTGCTGCCTCACGCTATTCATTTCATTTTGTTTTTGTTGTTTTTTGTTTAGCCTAGGCAGAGCACCAAACACCAAACACCACCCACATAACCCAATTGATTTTTATTCGTTTTTCTCCCCATGTTATTTGAATAATAAAGACCGAAATGCCCAACCCCAACCCTATCCGCATTCCAGTTGCTGGTAGCCCGGCTAGTGCCTTTCATTTGTGCCCCATTTCATTTGCGTTTGGTTCTCTTCTGTTTCGTGTTTTTTTTTTTTTTTCGTTCGTTCGTTGTTTGTTATGTTTTTATGTTGCCTACGTTTTGCTGCCCATTGCAATTGGCCTTCATTTCTGTTTATTGTCGATTGTCCAACGTTCGTCGGTCGTCGTTCGGCGCCCATTCGCCGGCCACCCGTTTTTGGACTGTTATGATGAAGTGATTGAAACCCGGCCATCGGAATGGCCCTTGGACATGCAAGCGACGTGTTGCTATTTTTGGCATTGTTTGCCATTTGTTTTGCCTGCTCCCTTTGCCACTTCAGACCGCGTCATTTGTTGCGTGCTAATTGGCCACGTGATGGCGACAAATTGAGTTTAAGTGAGGCGCGTTTGTCGAACGGCCGATAATAAACTCGAATTGGAATTTTTATTGATGAAAAGTGGGAAACAAATTCGTTCTTTCACTATTTTGTCCCAGTGCCGCCCTCCTCTACCGCTCACTGCAACAGATTTTGGCCATCGTGTTCCATTTGTTGTGGCAACGACTGCTTTTGCTGTTGCTGTTGCTCGTGCGGATGAAGCTGAAGCTGGTGCTGATGCTGGTTATGCAATGACTGCTGTGAGTGCTTTTTGGTCTTTGTGGCTGATGGCTGCTTATCAGCTGCTACCATGGCCTGATAGCGGCAGCTGTTGCCACTGCTGCTGGGCAGATGCTCCTCTTGCTGCAGGGCATAGTAAACACATTCCGGCGAATTGGCACGGGACTGCACTGGAGTGGGTGTAGCCGACGCAGTCTCCATCAGCGAGAGCTGCAACAGCGCCATATCGTCGCTTTGGGAGAGCTTGCGCTTCGCAGCCTTGTTGGAACTGCGGAACTGTGGCTTTGAGGACATGCCTGCAAAATTGCAAACTTTTTTGAGTTCTTGCCTTCGTTCGCGCTGCCACTCGAAGCGACTGCGACACTTACTTGAGGGTAAGCAGTTGACTCGACAAAACTTACAGCTGTAATGAGACGCAGTGCGCAATCGATCGGCATTTTATGGCAACGATCGCAACTCGCGCAATTTTCCGATGGCCTGCTTACAGCGAACTGCACTCATTTCTGGTTAAACAGCCCGTGAGAACAGCATCGGTGGCATCTGGCACTTTAGTCGCCAGTCAGCCCCCCTCGACTACTTACACTGACTACATACTACATACTACTACTCGTATATGCAAAGTGGCGCTTGGCATAATGAGTGAAGGAAACAGCCTAGGTAGCGGGCACGACAATTGCTTTAACCTTGGCCATATGCAAAGAGCAAATGCCAAAACTCAACGACCCAATGGCCCAGCCCGGGCCAGCCCACGCTCTGTCCACCGCCCACCATTTGTTTTTATGTTTATCTGCCGCCATTTTCCATAATTTCGACATTTGTATAAAATTCGCATATTTCCGCCATTTAACGCCGTATCAACATTTATGGCCAACATAGGCGAGAGAGCGGCGCCGAGCGACGACTGACGAGCGACAAGCACCAAGTGCTATATCCTTATACCCATGGGCGTATATACTTATGTATACACATACATATACATACATAGCAAGTATTTATGTATATGCATGCGTATTTGTATTTTCGTATACTGGCGTTACTGATGCTATCATTAAGAGCTTTACGGTAACGGCAGCAATGCTGGCAATAAAATTAATTAAAATTCAATAAATTGGCGCTCAAATGAAACATTCAAATGAACGCGCCAAGGACCCACACCCAGCCCCAATTGGAATAACAGAAGTGAGAAAATAAAATTGGTGGGGCTTGCAGCCTCCCTAGATAACTAGTGCTATCAACGCCTTGGTGTGGCTGGCCTTTGTCGCAGTGTTTGGGGTATTTGAGTTGTTGGAGGGCTTATGTTAATGCTCAATTACAATTGTTGTTGAGCTGGAAATTGTATGGCTCTCGACACTCACATACTTGTACATAAATACAATCTTATTTTGAGTAGGTGCTTATGCTTGGGGATTAATGCTTATCTTTAAGGACACACGGCCAGGTAATTAGCATACCAAAAACTTGAGTAACTTACTGTTGGAAGGGAGGAGAAAAGAATCAGAGCTGTGCATTAGAGTCTGGAGAATGGGTTTTCTTTAGTTTGTAACATTGGAAAAGGACCAACAAGTTTTGACACCATAATTAACAACTTATGCAAAAACGAAAGAGAAAAGGTGTGTGCTGCAATTCCTAGCTTAAGCTACGGTCCCACATCCAAATAATTTGTACGCAAATTTATGTTACAAGTTGGCATTCAATTGTTAATGCCACAGAAGTTTTTTGTTAGAGAAATCTTTTTTTCTTCTCTTCTCTTCATTTCATTTCATTTATTCACAAGAAATTGTCTCATTAATTTGTGTATTTCTATTATTAGTTGACAATAAAGAGTTCAGGTTATAATAGTTAGATATAAAGTCTGTTTTTGAGAAAAATCTAAGAAATTTTTTTTAATAACTTGATTTTTTTCAGAAAATTCAACAAATTTAATGTCTACTATTCCATATTTCTCCACTGTTCGCTCGCCTTGCGAATTTCAAAAGCATTAATTCTTAATGTTTCTGCTTAATTAGATATAAAGTCAGTTTTTGAGAAAAAGTATGAGAATACATATATTTGAAATGATTTGATTTTTTAGAAAATTCAACAAATTTAATGACTACTATTCCATATTTCTCCACTGTTCGCTCGCCTTGCGTTTTTTAAATGCGTTATTTTTACACATATTGCTTATTATTACACATTTTTTCCGCCCGATCAATTACTGTCTTTGCTCTAAACTTTTCTTCTTATTAATTTCACCAATTCCTTCTTTACCTCGTTCTCTTTTGATGTGAACCTATTTATTTATTTTCTTTCATTCCTGCAAAAATCAATAATTTGGTGGAAAATGTAAAGCAATCCAATTCCAAAGTCGTATATCACCTTACAATGAAAACTAAGCAATGCTCTCCTACTTCCATTCTTTTGTAATTGCCTTCCACTATTCCCCCAGTCATTGTACTAGCTTTTATTTCTTGCACATGCCTCGATTCGCATAGTTTTATTTATTATTTTGCCAATCGCCGGCCACTCAATAATTTACAGCGTCATTGCAGGCATCAGTTATACAGAACATGTAGTCCCCACCTCCCCTTGTATTTGCCTCGCCACGGTCTTACTTGAACCTCTTCGTGGCAGACACAATGCGCCCAAGCCCTGGCGTGTGGCATATAAACAAAACACTCAATATTCACGAGTAATAAACAAAACAAAAATGTGGCAGGCAGCTGCAATTGTTGTAGAAATATGTAATGAAATGGCTAGGCGGGTAAATAGAATTGCAAACTGCATTTTCGAGGGGGTTACCCTCTTCCGCTTGTATAAGGGGTACATAGGCACTGTCTCAAGGTAAGTAACACAGACGCGGAGCCATTTATTTTGGCTTAACTGAGTGCAGTTTGTGTTTCCCTACAGTAAACAGTCCGTCTTGATATTGGAAAATAATAGACTGGTAGAAGGGATGTGACGGATATGCCTGTTCAAAAATTTGTCCCATAATTATATAGGAATTTAACAATTGCCTGTGAAAAGTATTTACAAATGCATCTCTCATAACAAAACTTGACTTACTTAGAAGTAGTCGATGAATGTAGGGTTTTTGAAAATTTTAAACATGTCTTTGCTAAGACCTGCAAATAAATTGTGGTCAAAACTATAAGGAAATAGTATAAATAGTATAAATAAATTAAGGAATCTTAATTTGTACTTAAGTATTTTATGAATTCTCACATCCCTATCAGACACCTAAATTTCAAAGTGGACTATTGTCCGTAAGCGTATAACTTTTATTTGCTCAGATTTAAATTTTGACTTATTTAAAAATTGCAATTAAATTAAATTACAATAATTTAATCAAAGCTAGAGACATTAAACATTTCCCTATTTTATTTCTAAATCTAGACAAAATCATCATCCCATATCATAGAGTTACCGAAAAAGTTGCAGGGTATTCCACTGCCGAGAGCAATCAGCTATAACATTTTATCTCGGCTTTTGTTGTTTTGGTTTCTGTTTCTGTTACCCGTATTTGTCGAGCCTAGCGGCAAAGCGACAGCCAGAGCAAGTGTTTTCAAACAAAGAGATGACAAAAGCGTGTAAGGCTCACAAAACGGAAAAAATGGAATTGCTTGTAATACTCGTACAAACGAAACAGATATAGAGGGGGGAAGGAGGAACATTGGAGAGCAACAAGCATGTGTGGGCCATGCTGAGTGGGTGGCGGGTGGTCGGTGGCGTGCAGGGGTTGGATGCGTATGGGTGTCATGCGTATGGCAACAGTTGTCTTAACAAGCAGCCGAAACAGCCAGAAGACAGACAAAACGTGCGGCAAACTTTGTCGCTGCCGAAACAATGCCAGAGAAAAACGGCAACGGAAATTGAAAAGAGGCAGCCACCGCCTTCTCTATACTATATATAAACACACACACACATAGTCGCACATATATACACATATGTATGCATGGTATGTACGATTGTACGCAGCGCTCCTTCAAGCAAAGTGCTGTAAAGGCATTCTGAAGTTTTATTTTCCCTGTTATCCAGTTTTACTTTTTGCTCGTTGTCCTTACTGCATTCCTTTGGCTGAAATTTAACCAAATTTGTTTCATATCTCTTTCAAGCTGTTGAGGGATCCAGTGTCGTTGCTAATTTCTCCCTCCCTGTCTCTTGCTCCCTCTCTGCCTCTCTCTCCCTCTCTCTCTCTCTTTCTATCTCTATACTCTGTGCATGCAGCGCATAAAAGTGTGCTACACTTTTTTCTGCTCGCCATTCACTTCAGTTAAAGTCATTGGTTCGGTGAGTGGCCCACAAATCCTTGGTCAGCAAATGGAAAGCACAGTGGCCGGCAAACACACAGATCCCCTCACACACTGCCCCTATGACACATTTGTGGTTGAAATGACAAAAGGAAACCAAGTAAGCAAAATGTAAAAGTTCTGACAGCAGCAGCAGCAACAACAAAACTAACAGCTGCAAGTACGTTAAATTTGTTGCTGCAAACTCTTTTATTCTGTTTCCACTGCTGTTTATTTTTGTTTTTGTGGCAACAGTTGTCAAAATATGGCCAACCACACAGCTGAGACCGCGTAGCCTTGCCGCAGGAGCCGTTGAAAAGAATGGCATGCACTGAACCATCATAATCTCTACGAAAATGGCTTTAATATAAGGATATTCGCAAACACCCGCATCCAACGAAGGCGCAGAAACAATTTACAGTTAAAGCTGAGCAGCTCATGAATACTCCCCTGCAAATGAATATTCTTACTCTGAAGTCGATCAAACAACGAATAAATGAAGAAACAGTTAATATTGCAGAACGTACAAAAAAAAGATTGGCTAGATTTGTCTTTAATTTAAAAATGATTAAACATTGCTAGTAGCCCTGTAAAAAGTTATGGCTAATATCATCAGAAAATCGAAGTAAATGTTGCTTTATAGACATTTTGCAAAATTAAGAAACAGAAGTGAAGAAACATTTAAGTCTATATATTTATCCATTCTTCTGATAATCTCAAGCTGTGGATTCTTTATTGCATTTAAGTACTTCTTCTTTATGAATTTCGTGAATGTATCAAAATTGTCAAACATTTTCGGTGAAATTAATCTTAGACCTAATGCAACATCGTAGGGATGACAACAAGGCGTGTATTAGGTATTGTCTCTAATTAAAGTATGACACATAATATTCATAGAATACTACTTAGCGAATAAATAAGTACAATTAATTAGTAATCAAGCTACCAAATTATATACAACAAAAACTTTCCTTATTAATGAATAAGAAAAGAAAAGTAGCATACCAATTACCATATATTTGTTTTAATGGGCAAACACTCAAAAGATTATATTTAATATTTAAGTCGCTGCCATTCACCTCATTATTTGTCGCGTTTCAGCGACTCTGTACCTTTTTTGTAT